GTGTACGGTCGTACACGGGTGTATGGCTGGTGATCCTATATATAAGGTGAGGAGTGCATGCGTAAGGAAAGAGAAGGAGTGAACGGCTAGAGAAGAGGAGCATGTTCTAGAGAGAGAAGAATAGTGTGTGTGAGAGAATCTTGTGTAAGGAGCATCATTCATATCTTCAATACATTCAAGATTCAAGTTATTCTTCTTCTCCTTCTCTTCTATTTTGATCTGGCATCATCCGTTTGATTGGGATTCCGCACCATCAAACGGATCTGATTGATACTCAAGCAGATTGGGGACTTACAATTTCCTCATCTCTCACACTCATCCTTTGCATTGACTGTTCCATTAGAGGTGCAACACTTGAGGCACTAGGCTTTCAGAAGTAAAGATCAAGCAAGGATTGTTCTTGTTATTACAATATAATAAGTGAGGTAAATTATCTAACCCTAATATACATGTGAATTTCAAAATTGTATATCCTAGATCTAGGGTTATTGCTTTGGTGTTCATATTTGTATGTTCAATAGAGAAAAACTTAGATCCAAAGAAATTAGGGTTGCATGATCACATAGGAATGTAGATATGCTCAAAACTTATCACATCCAAGGTCCAATATGGGCCCAACATCAGAAGTGGCCCCACAACAAGTAAGTCTATGGTCCAACCTAACAAGCAAGCCTAACAGTTAAGGCCCAAAAATCACCCCAAGTTATGAAACGAAATCCCATATTATTAGTAATTTCCTAAATTGTTGTTGAACAAATTTTCAAATTTACCCATATCAATTATTTTAAAATATAAAATAATTTTTTTTCTTATTAATTGCCATCATGATGTTGTCATCTTAACCACTCATTTTTTTAATATAATGGACAGAAAATGGTCATACAATCACATAGTTTTTACAATTCATATTTAATTATAAACACACACACACACACACACACACACACACATATATATATATATATATATATATATATATATATATATATATATATATATGATTTATATTTTATTTTACTGTATGAATATGCTATAATAAAATTATAACTTCTTCATACGAACTCCGTTTTCAACATTCTTTATATCGTTGACTTTGTATTGACGAGTACTACAACTTTCATTTAGACTCTATCGATTGATTCTATTCTATTTCAACTTTACAACTCTGAACAAATTTCGTCGCGTTTTGAAACTTAGGGACCAAGTTTCGCTTATATCCTTCACACACGAGCTCCGTTCTCGACTGTCTTTATATCGATGGATGCGTATTTATGATATCTTCAACTCTCGTTTATATTGTTTTGGTTAACAATCAACTGATTTTTATTTCGATTTCTGTTGTGTACTGTTTCGTATTCGAAACTTTGAAAAATCATAACTTCCTCATACGAAGTCAGATTTTGGCGTTCTTTATATCCAACCGCTCCTACTGACGAGCACTTTGATTTCCGTTTAGATCACTTAGGCTAATAAGCAACCTATATCCGGTTCACTTTTTATGACAAATACATTGTATCATCTCGAACGTGAAACTTAAATAAATCATAACTTCCTCATACGAAGTCGGACTTAAGCACTCCATATATCTACGAGATTTTCATTGCGATTAGTACATCTATAGCTAAGATCATTTACTATATCTTAAATGTCTAGCCCAAATTTGCGGGCGTTACACTAGGTGCTAGTCCGACGTCCACCAATAATGTTTATTGCTAATCGGTCTATGTAATCAGGGTTGGTCAAAGTCGGTCCAAGCCAGGGCTAATCGGACCTAGGCGCCTTAATCAGTCAAATGAGGTCAACGGAAATTCCAGACATTTTAGGGGCAAATTTGTCAAACCGAAACCATTTCTTGGTAGGGTTCGTTCCTTATTGACTCATTCCATCTCAATTCTCATACTATGAATAAAACTCTCTCAGACTCATGAACTAAAACCTTGAAATGCTTGCATCTTTTCTTCCAATCACTCTGGTACGTCGTTGCCTTCCAAGCTCGTTGTCTCATTCTCGATTCAAATCGGTGCTAGGGTGTGTCGGACATCCGCTTCTTCTCCTCGGACACCATCTACTCCTACGGAATCCCTAATACACCAGCACTCTTAATCTACGAAGGTTAGTTCTCATCCTCATCGATCTGTAAATCCTCGACACCATCACCGCTCTCACTACCTCTAACAAGCTACCATCGTCACTCCAACCTATATTACATAGATCTAAACACCATACTCCCCGATGCTCTCATCTCTGCCACTCACAACAAGATGACAGAAAACCCCAAACCTACATCAGTAATTTAGCCCCTATTTTTCCAATTTGTGCTGCAAAAGGTTTGATTTTTTAGGTAGGAACCTGAATTTGTTTACTGTTTTAACAAAAATGAAATTAAAGAGATATGTTTTGTATTTTTAGGGATTATACGAATTTGATGTTGTTCAATTTTCAAATTCTGCTTTGGGGCTTTTATGTTCTGATTTGAAGATCGTGCAACGAAAATCCACATATATAGGTGTATTTATGTGTGTTTGTGTATAGGTATGTTTGTGTGTATTTATGTGTGTAGGGGTGGCTATATATATTCGTATGTATCTATTTTAGTCTCTATGTTTAAATGTGTATCAATATATGTAGATGAAGTAGCAGGAACAAGATAATAGAGGACCAAAGAACTGAATTTGTAGTTGAATCCGTATCATTTTTGTTTGAATTGTTCCAAATCTTTGTGTGTGTTTGACATATGATACTTTATTTAGTTGTTGGTTTTGGTTAACAGATCTAAGATTATCAAGATATTATATCAAGAGGAAGACATATTTGATAATTTTTTGGTTTTTATTGACAAGACTACATTGATACCTCACATGGTAACATGGTGTTGAAAAATGTTTGCCGCCTCATTTTTTTACATTTTCCCACCTTGTTTATTTTGGTGGACCCAAGAAACAAAATTACATTGAACTTTGTGTATCTAATTTAAATATTTTTGAATAATTTTCTTAATGGAAATAGACTTATTATGGTAATTAACTTTTCGGTTTGTTCACATCTGGGTAACTATTTTTTTTCGTACACATCTAGGTAACGAACTTTTTGGAGGTGTTCACATATGACCATTATGACCGGTTGTCGCATGTTACATCTGGTCGTAATGGTCATATATGAACATTTCCAAAAAGGTAATAGTAAATTACACGAATGGTCCCTGTGGTTTGGGGTAATTTGCGTGTTTGGTCCCTAACTTATATTTTTAACTCGGATGGTCCCTATTGTTTATTTTTGATGCGTGTTTGGTCTCTGTCGTACCTAAAAAGATTGTTGTGCCCTTATTAATTTATTTTTTAATTAATTTTCTTATTTATGTATGTATTTTTTATATATTTAAAAAAATTAATAGACCCCACATATATGTATCTCTTCATTCTAAACCTGAAACCACATTTGAGAAATTTAATCTATTTCCCACCGGTCACCATCTCATCTCGCATCCTCCCCAACTTCTATTTTCTTTTCATTTTTAGTGACATCGACGTCTTCACCATCACTTTATTTTTCGGTCCTTCAACTTCGGCAAACCAACACCACAACCCACTGTCTCTTCATCGAATTTCCACCAGCACAACCCTTGCAGGAAAAGAAAATTGATGCCAAAAAGAAAAATTAGAGAACCAGATCCATTGAAAACGACAACTTGAAATGCAAATCAAAACCTGGAACTTTATTAATAACATTCTAAGCTTTAACTCATCAAACGATGTGTTTTTTTATTGGTCTCTATTTTTGATACTTTTATTCTCTAGTAAATTTAATTTTTTATTATTTAATATGTTAAACAATAAAGTTCTATAAAACAACGATGCGTATTTTTCAATGTCAAATCTGGAGTGTTTTTTTTATCAACAAAGTAGTGTATTTTAAAAAGATATTTACCAAAATGGTGTGGTTTTAAAAATATTTACCATTTAGGTTAAATTTTATACGAAATCAAAATTAGAAGGTAAAAAAAATTGACTTATCAGGGTAATTAACTTTTCAGTTTATTCACATCTGGGTAACTATATCTTTTTTGTACACATCTAGGTAACGAACTTTTTGAAAGTGTTCACATATGACCATTATGACCAGATGTAACCTGCTATAGTCGGTCATAATGATCATATGTGAACACTTCCAAAAATTTCGTTACCAAGATGTGTACAAAAAAGAACTAATTACACAGATGTGAACAAACCGAAAAGTTAATTACCTTAATAAATCTATTTCCCTTTTCTTAATAACTCATGGTCCGGATTAATCCCTTGATTTTTCCACTACATCACCACCTATGAACATGTTTTTCCACCTCTAAGAGATTTGCCCTTCTCCGTCCCCTGAACATGACTGCTTATACAACTACTGTGCTAGAAAAATGGCAGGCGACCACATACCAAGAAAGAGCTATTACACAAAAAGGGGACACTTTGTAAGGTCCAAGACCCCTTTAACCCTCACATTCATCATATATTTATGATCAAACTCTTATATACAAATTTACACTATGCACCACCAAACTTCTATTAGATCATATTTTTAATCTATAATTGCACTTGTGTTTATTCTAATCACACAAAAGATTCGGTAACACTAAAATCACCAACAAATAGTACATGAAAGCAATATAGGAGAGAAATAGTATTAGTGTAGTAAAAAATACATGAACGTATACTATATGATCAAAAGTTATCGAATCATATAATGCCAGCTTAATTTTTCATTTTCTACGATAGCTAGAATGCTTGCAAAACGGTGGATATAAAAAATTATCATAAACACCATGGATACATGTGCGATAACAATCAAAACCATATAATGTCTTCTTAAAGTACTTTTACAATGATACACTATTAAAAAAAATCAAGTTCCACCCACATATATAATACAAATGAGTTATGATATTGTACTCAAATATTTTAGTTCGAATTATATCAATCATACAATATGTTTATCAATAGGTTTATGTGTCATTGTCAACGTATCTTTTTCCCATTGCTTGCGTTATTTTTAGAAAGTTTTTCGAATAAACTGCCATCGAAGATACCTCTCATGCTCTCTTTTGACAGGTATCCTTCATCATCTTTAGCAAGAAAGTATGTAATCCCCCACTCTAACTTACTCGCTATCCTATAGAAGATAAAACATATTAAATTATCATTGGAATTTATGTGTAATGATTGTGTCTGTAGTGATCAAGCACAAACCATCCAAATATGTCAGATGTAACACGATTTCCTTCGGTCATGCTCCATAGTTCTTTAAATGTTAGTTTATCTGGCATTGTTTTTCCGTATTTGCTAAACATGTTCTCAAAGTTAGCTGGAAGATACCTAGAAAATGAATATAATTTCACTGTTAATATTGTGTTGTGTATACAACTTGACAGTTACATGTAATGGTCCCAACTACAAATATAAATGAACAAACGAACACCCACAAACATATAAACAAACGAAATTTCTTGTTCACATTTGTTCACTTAAGAAATTACCTTATTCATGTTCGTTTGTTTATGTGTTTTCTGGTACTAAACTAAAAAAAACATACACGGTCATAACAAACATATATTTTGTTCATGTGTGTTCAGTATTAAACAAACAGACTGAATAAAAGATCATAGATGAACAGACATAAATGAACAAACACAAATGAAAGAACATAAAAAAAACAAACAAAGACAAAAAACAAACTTATATGAACTTAACATAAATGAGCATAAACATCCAAATCAAAACTACATCAAGAAGACGGCGCATCAATGTGTCAATGTATTACTTTCTTTTAGATGTTTGTGATTTAATAATATGGTTTGTTCTTATAGTTTATATATTTTGCTAACAATTAATGGATATATGTCTCTCAGCCAAATGTTCAGCATTTAAGTCCCATTAGGGACAAAAGGTGTAGATTTACAAGTAGAATAGTGGGGTGTTTTGGTAAGATGTTCTTTTAT